CAACCGCCAATCTGTTCTCTGTATCTCTGAGCTCAGGTGTGTGGGTTGTTTTTAAAGATTCTACCTATAAGTGACATCATACAGTATCTGCCTTTCGCTGCCTGACTTACATTCCTTAGTATAATGCCCTCAAGAGCATCCATGCCGTTCGCATGAACCTCCTGCTCGCCCTGATTTCTGAACGATGGCCTCACAGCTTTGAAGGAACTGAAAGCAAGGAGGCCTGGGAAGAGAGTCTTTCTCTGATGGGTCATCATGGGTTCATCGCGCACAAGAATGATTTGTATTGTGAGGAGGGTGATGAAGGAGGCGTGGGTGGCCTTCCCAAAACACTAATGCGTTCTAATGTGTTTTAAAATATCTTTAGAACCGTTTCAGGTTTACGGGAAACAGAGCGGACAGTACAGAGTTCCCATAGATCCCCCGGGCTTCCCCCTGGTGCCGGCATCTTGCAGGGTGTGGTACGTTCGTTACAACCAACACTGAGACATATTATTAACTAAAGTCCATAGTTGGCATTAGGGCTCATCTTTGTGTTGTGCATTCTGCTGGTTTGGACACATATGTCAGGGCATGTGTGCAGCATTACAGCATCATAGAGTCCTCTCACTGCCCTGAAATCCTGCGTTTCCCCTGTTCACCCCTCTCCATCTCCACCTGAGCCCCTGGCAACCACCATCTTTCCACTGTCTCTGTAGCTTCACACTTTCCAGAACTTCACAGAGTTACAATCAGACAGTATATAGTCTTTGCAGTTTGCTGTCTTGCACTAATCAATATGCATTTAAGATTCTTGCAGGAGTTGGTGTGGCTTAATAGCACATTTCTTCCTATCACTGACTACATTCCATGGTGTGGATGTGTACCCCCGTCATTAAAGGGAATCTTGGTTGCTTCCGGTTTGGGGCAATTATGAATAAGGATGCTATAAATATGTACCCAAAATAAAAGTGTCTTAAACTGAACAATAAAAAAAAAACCCAACTTAAAAATGGGTGAAAGATCTGAACAGACGCCTCACCAATGCAGATATACAGATGGCAATTTACATATGCAAATGAGCATATGAGAAGAGGCCAAATATCAGGTATCATTAAGGAACTGAAAATAAAACATGGACCATCTCTTCATTCATTTAGATCTTCGATTTCTTTCATCAACATTTTGTAGTTTTCTTCAAATAGATCTTGTACATATTTTTGTTAGATTTATACCTCAGTACTTCATGGTTTTGGTAATAATGTAAATAGTGTTGTGGTTTTTTTTTGTTAATCCTCACCTGAGTATATATTTTCCATTAATTTTAGAGAGTTAAAGGGTGGGAAGGAAGGGTAGACCAGGGGGTAGGTGGGTGGGAGGTAGAGAACATCAAAGTGAGAAAGACACATCAATTGGTTGCCTCCCGCACACGCCCCGACCAGGGCTGGGGATCGAACCTGTAACCCAGGCATGTGCCCTTATCTGGGAATTGAACCTGTGACCCTTCAGTGCTCAGCCTGGTGCTCTAACCACTGGGAATGCTGGCCAGGGCAACAGTGTTGTGTTTTTAATTTCAAATTCCAGTTGTTCGTTGCTGGTATATAGGAGAGCAAGTGAGTTTTGAATATTAACCTGTATCCTGCAACCTTGCTGTAACTGCTTATTAGTTCCAGGATTTGTTACTGTTGTTGATTCTTTGGAATTTTCTGCGTAGGTACATACACACGAAGGATTGTTGTGTCTTCTTGTCCCTATACTAGAAGCCCAGTGCACGAATTCGTGCACCGGTGGGGTCCCTCGGCCTGGCCTGCGGGGATTGGGCCAAAACCAGCTCTCGGACATCCCCTGAGGGGTTCCGGATTGCTAGAGGGTGCAGGCTGAGGGACCCCACGGGTGCATGATCGGGGCCCGGGAGGGACCGCGGAGGGCTCCAGGGTGTGTCCAGCCCTGCTTGCCCAGTCCTGATCAGCCAGACCCCAGCATCCAGCTAACCTGGATTAAATGCCAGCACTCTTTGTATGAAAGTTGGAGGAGACACTGTGAGAAAATAAACTTAGAACATAATTGCAAAGCCTTGGGCTAGAGTGGATGCCTCAGAGGCAGTGTCTTGGGAAGACGGAGACTTCCCATGTGCCCTGTAGCCCACAGTCCAGGGTCCTGGTGCCAGGGAACGTGGTATTTCCTGCTGGGCTCCGCATTTCGCTCGCTCTTATTATTAAAGTGAAATTACAGAGGAGCCTTCTGCCCTCGCCTCCAATTCACAGGCACGCGGTCTGGGGTCTTTTTCTCCTGGGGAAATGGCATCACATCAGCACCCATCATTAGATAAATTCTGGCAGGCTTTTAAGCAGCAATAGAAATAATCCCATGGGGGAGATGTATTGTATATCAAGGGTTTTTTTTTTTTAAAGGTAGTTATTAAACTCTTTTGTTGGGCATGTTGCCAATTTTGTTTAAACTTCTTAAAAAGATTGTAAGCAATTTTTTTTTTTTAAAGACTGGAAGGCTGTGAACCAGGGTTAACGTTCCTGCCTCCCGGGGATGGGTCCTGAGCGATTCTAATGTCGTCTTTGTGCGTTTCTCCGGTGCTCATTCTCTGCAATATTAGGAAAAATGTTATTCTAAAGATGAGTAGAACAAACGAATGAGGAGCAGTTCCGCCAGAACCTCCCTTTACCTTAGCACACCCTATTCCATGAGCGTGGCGGTTTCTTTGCAAGAAAACGAACAGCTGCCACTTGCCGACTGACCTTCCAGTGTTTGGGCCATTTCTGCTTCCGGTTGCGCCATTTGGGACAAACAAAGCACACGTGTGTGGAGCCGGGAACCAGAAAGTGGCAGGTTCCCCGGCCAAGCGTGTGCCCCATGCAGACTCCCCGAGTTCCCTTTGCCTCTGTGTTGCCTGACTCCCCACCCAACAAGCGTGGGTCCCTGTCTGGGCCTGGAGTGGAGAGAGCACATACCCCAGCTTCCCCGGCACTAGCTGTGTGACCTCGGGCAGGTCACTGAACCTCTCTGAGCCTCAGCATCTGCTTTTAAGAATGAGCATCGTCCCCAGAACCAAGATGGCGGCATAGGTTAACGCCGGAGTTTGCTGCCTCGAACAACCACTTCAAAAGTGAAACTAAAAGACGGAACGGACATCACCCAGAACCACAGGAACGCTGGCTGAGCGGAAGTCCTACAACTATGAGGAAAGAGTAACGCATTCGGACACTCAGAGGAGGCGCAGTGCTGAAGGCAAATTCTGAGGTGCGGAGTGCGCG